TTCCAAGACATGACACATCAGATAGAAGCAGGCAGAGGCCCATACACCATAGCTAACTGTTCTGTGACAAGATGGACCGGAAGCCACAGCTCTGCCTTATCAATATGTGATGCAGAAACGGCAGTGGGGGAGTGGAAGAAATCCGATAACAGACTATCACTGTGAATGCGAGAGACTTGCCAGGTCTGTGCTCCTGTCTCTAAAAAAGCTGGTGTGAGACTGCATGTTACTGAGAGATTTATTTTAGAAATTTGTTATATCCTGCTTTTAAAAGGGAAAAATAAAGCAAAAACAGTGCACTAAGCAATCACAGTTTGGTTCCAGAAAGTCAGTTAAAATAATCAGTACTGCAACACCGCCTCCTTGCATTTCAAGAAGGAAACTGCTTTATTGGATCAGGCTAGCAGTCTGTCTAATCCAGGACCTCATCTTCAAATACTGGATCTTAATACTGCAACAGAGGCAAGAAATCTCTCCTCTCCAACCCCTCAATGGTTATCTGTTTCAAAAAGTGTCATATTACTGACCCATTTCTTGATGTTATTTATACAACCAAATAGGTTTGTTGAACTGTGCTTGTGTGTTTATTTACTTGTGAAGTTTGTCAGTCTAAAGCACCTTATGTGCAACCTTAGCTTCAAGTCGTGATTTAAGCATAATAGATTATCAAATATCCACAAAGTCCAAAACAAGCTTTGTGTGCTTTCACTTGTATGCTACCCTGTACTATTTCTCTCCCCTTGGTGTCGTTAAAGGTATGCTCACAGCAGAGGCGGCTGTGTACAATGCTGTCCTGGTGCCAAGAGACCTGTGTTCAAGTTTCATATTACAAGATTAGCAAGATATAAAGTGAGGCTACTGGAAAATGCAAGCTATTAGCATAGTACAGATCAGGAGGTTTGATAAGCTTTAAACAAGGAGGGGGGGAAACAATTTCCCACACATGTAACTACGTGATTCTTCCATACCACAAAAGCTACAGGAGCTACTCTGGTAAGTGTTTACTCATGCAAGAGACAGAACTACAGTGCATCCTACAAATCACTGTTCTGATCTATCTGTAATAAAAATAAGAAAGCTTTTTTCAGTGACTTGATCCCACTTTATGTAGTATGTGTAACGAGTAGTGTCCTGCCATAACAAGCAGTGTAAAGCACTGTGTCTTTATTTTCTCTCGTCTACCTCCATGGTGTTTTCCAAAACACAGTGCATAAAGGAAGATCTGTAAAAATGCCTTGAATTGTTTATGTTAAAAATGTAACTGTTTTCCACTAGCAGTATGAAAAATTATATTAGGTGGCCATTATTTTGTCTTCTCTTTGGATAAACAACTGATTACATAGGGTAAACAAGAGTGGCTGGCAATGATGTATGAAGAATCAAAGCACAAAAATCACTATCTTCCAGAGTTCTACCTAGTGCAAAAGGAGATAGCTCTATAGCTGTCACCAGAAAAAATGAATGACATTACTGTTGATGTTTTCACATTCATTCCTATGCATGATGAGTTTTACACATCTGAACTGAGTTATGAGGAGGAGTGGTTTGAAGTATACATTAACAGCTTACAAAACCAAATCACAGGGCCAAATTTGCTGCTGAAATAGCTCCAAGAGTGGGCCTCTGTTTGCAAAAAGTGTTTCAAATGTGAAGGTGTGCAATTACAGTGGATTCTGTGAAGCTCAGCACACTGTAAATTTTTTCTATCCTAAAAAAAACAACATAAAAGTAAGCAAAATCCTTCTAAAGCACACACTTAAATTGCTAATTTTGCTAAATTGCGTTATCTAAGATAACGGCGCAAAACTCCAGCTGGTTCAAATGTCAGAGCTTCAACTACTCCAATGGAGCAACTAAAGTCTACATCAGTTCGGGATGCCCCTCCTAAGGCATAAAAATGGTCGTGAATGGGGACAGATCAGTATTCAGCTCTGCTATCATAGGACACATCCTTTATATTAATCCAAACACAACTTTTTGCCTCAATACCTTTAAAATTCAGTACTTCAACAGGTAAATCGAAAATGCATTTTCAAGTGAAAGCTATTGCTCCCTGAATTACCTGGAGCTGTAGTAGAAAATCGATGAGACAAAGACATTTAAATGAGATGTTTAAATATAGACTGTAAATATGAAACTGAACATTAACAAATTAGATTTGTGGGGTCTTCCCTTGCTTTAGCCTGTGTGTCATCATGCAGTCTTTGTTTACGTTCATTTATCTTCTTTGTTTGATGACGTTTGAATAATTAAATACATTGATGAATTGCATCAGTAAATGCCATCCATATATCACAAAACCAGGATGCACTCTGTGTTCCTGGCACACTAATCCTAAAGGGTTGGCTTTTTTCATGTTTGTTTGAACTTTCAGTACTTAACAAAGGAAATAATACTGCTTTGCTGCATAAACTTCCTGAGTTTTATTCTAATTTTCAATGAACAAACAGCTGCAGAATGATGTGACTTAATGAAGCATTTCTAATACAATCCTGCAGAAGTTAAACCAGAACTGCTTGCTCACTGATAGTTGTATCATTCAGAGTAATTTTTCAAGATGGTGATCACATTTTTGTGTACACGAGTATTAGGTAATGTGATTTTCTGTCTTCCAAAGTGATTTCCTTTAGTGTTATAACTAGTTAGCATTGTTCCATTACTATATATAGTAAGTAAAACACACAACGTAACTAATGCAACGTATTTCTAATACACTATTTAAGCCTTACACAGGTTGCTTAGTAGCACTATACAGCCAGCCATAAATTTAAGTGTGAAGATGCTCAGGTCTGAAAAATTCCATGGAATGTTTTGCTCACCAAAAGCATACAGCCTGCGTTTGTAAAGATGTCCTTTATCAAGTCTGTCGTCACCTGTGACAAAATTATGGAACTTCTTGGAGGCTATGTTTCTCTGTCCCTACAATTCAGTGTAAAGTATTATTTGTTTTATGTAAATCTAGATATGGTTCAATGAATCATCGCTTTGCAATCTGCTAGTAAAAGCAATCCTCAATATCCATCTGTACACGCATCTATTTACTTCTATTCAGAACAAGTTGTTTTCATGCATTCCCCACCAGAATTACCAAGTGCATTACAAGCATCTACACACAAAGCTGAGATCCCTTGTATCATAAGAAGAGACAGGTAAAAAGGTTACCATGTATGTCCAGTATGATCCTACCAGATTAGTCATCATTCTCTGATTAAAACAGCATGACAGGAATCAAGTTTTTATCTGAAAGTCACCCATTACCAGCAGCATGTTTAAAATTAATGCCACAGTTCTGAAAGCCCCTTACATTTAAATGACATGTGGAACCAGTGGATAGTAATCCTCATTTGCTGTCTGCTAACAAACTGAGCAAAGCTTTCCACTGAAATTATGGCACTTAGGTAGTTTACATTTAAATGAGTAACAGTACCACACTTTTGGAAATTGGGACTTTAGGAAACAAAAAAATACAGCTTTCAGTATTGCCTCAGCAGTATCAGTTCTCTGAAATAAAATATTAATAATGAAATTCATGTGAATTACTTTACTACCGCTAATTAACCACTCAGACCTATTTAAGCATCAGTATGAAATGACTGCACAATTACTGTGAAAAAGTATAATGAAAGATGTAACCTTTGCCACCTCTGATAAAACTGCTTTAATGTGCTCTTTCCTAACTCCAGCTAAGCTATATTCTTAGTACCACTGAACTACTATTTTTCTAGTGTTTACCCCACACTACAGGGAAAAAAAAGAATCTTAATTTATCCATTTGACTTCACTTGGATCATCCCATAAAACAGCTTTAAAGTGTTAAACATACAGCAGGCTGAACGCTGATGTCTGAAACTAGTTAGTAAAACTGAGATACCAGATAACAATTATCATTTAGTCAATAGTAATTTAAATGTATCCACTGCTGTGCGAAGACCCTAACACCCAGAATGCTTTATGGGGCTTTCAGGGAGCATGTTTATTATTTAAATTGACAGTTCTGCAGGAGTCAAAGCATGGTTCTTTAAATACTGAGCCGGTGCCTAGGGGGGGTGGGTTGGTAGGAGTAAGGTACTTAGGGCTCTGGAAAAAGGAAACACTGATTATCTCCAAGCAAAAGCTGGAAAGAAACAAGTGTAACTACACATATGATTTAAAATGCTTTAAGCAATAAGAGCCGTGCATGGCAACTCCTAACAGAGCGGTGCAAGCTATTCCTTGCCTAAATAGCCTGGTGTCCGATCCTACAGTTGCACAGGAACAAAGCAGGTTATTTTAAAACTTTCTCTTGTAAATCTATAAAAGAGGTGGAATAAAGGAAAAGCCCTCTCGCTGTGCCATACAGAACCTGCACCGTACCCAGTAAGTAAATGAGTTCAGTGAAATGCAAAGAAAGCAACGTGGAGGCACAAGGTATATTTCATACTACCTACACCACAACTTGGGGAGCGTTACGCACAGGAAGAACTGAAGCCATGAACAGTCTTTTAAGAACTCTTTCTGTAAGGTTTTCCAACAGGGACTCCGAAGGCGGCCGTCAAGCTTCCGGGCTCCAAAGCAGAGTAAACCCCTGAGTTCCACCGGGGGCTGCAACCCAGCGGTCACCTTTCCTACACAAGTAGTCGGGCTGAAAAACGGGTGGGTTCCCCTGCCCCGGCTCTGCTGAAACGCTGCAACGCCCGTTTGAATAGAATCAAGCTCTATTAAGAAGCAGAACACGAGCCCGGCGCCGGGCTGGAGCAGCTGCCCCGGCGCTCGGCCAGAGCCGCGAAGGGCGGCGAAGCTGCTCCTGCCTCATCGCAGCGGCTCTCGGCAACTTTTGGGCAGCGGGAGGGCAGACACCCGCTCTCCCGCAGCAGCCGCCCCGCGCCTAGCCCCACCGCTGCCGCTCCCCGCCCGCCGCCCCGCGGCGTCTCCCAGCCGCGGAGGGTACCTCCCGGTGTGTCTGCTCCCCCCCCCCAGTAGCGCAGACAGACACACGCCCCGGGAGCCCTCCGCTCACCTACCTGCAGCCCCGCTTCCTGCTGGAAACACCTAGGGATCGGCCTCCTCACGTCGGGGGGGAGCTCCAGCCTCACCGCCCGGGCATCGCCGGCACACGCCCCGCGGCCCGCCAGTGCCCGCGGGCACCGAGCGGAGCGGCGCCGCGCTAGGCTCCCCTCGGCTCGGGTCGGCTCGGGTCGGCCGGGCTGGAGCGGGCAGTCGTCTGCCGGGTGTCGCCCCGCCTCTTTGGGAATGAATATACGAGGAATCCGGCTAAGAGATGCGAGAGGGAGGGTGAAGTACGTGGGAAGGGAAGGAGGGAAGACTTTAAGTGTTTCTCTTGCACGATTTCAGAGTATTAGAAATAATAATAATAAAAATTAAAATAAAAGAGGTCGGAGTATGGATTAGCTCTCGGAAAAGCGGAGGGTGAAGAAGTCCTGCAGCTCGGTCCGGCTCCTGCCCCTCCGCCAGCTGCGTGAGGTCCCGATTCAGCCCCGCCGGCAGAGGAAGGGAGGAAGAGCCGGCGCGTCCTGCAGCAATACCTCCGTTAGAGCATCTCTGATTGGTTTGGCTTCGCGCACAGCACGACTTCCCCCTCCTGCTGCCTCCTTCTCTCTCTTGGGAAAAGTAATTGGAGAGCGAGAGCTTCACCTTCGGCAGCAGTAGCAGCGGCGGCAGCAGCCGCTCCGTGCCCAGCCTTGCGCGCACCGCCCCGCACCGCGGTGGAGCGCGGAGCCGCCCCGGGCGGTCGGACGGGCAGCGGCAGCTCCTGGCGCGCCCTGCGCTGGGGTCGGGAGGGACGCTTTTCCTCTAGCCGGTGTCCGCCCGGCTCCGCACTGCTCTCCTCCCTCCCCAGCCCCTTCAGCGGCAGCAGCTCTGTCTGACCGAGGAGCGGGGCTCCGCTGACAGCGCCCGCCGCCTCTCCCGCGGCCCGCGCACACCGGGGCTGGGCCACCTCCCGCCCGCCCCCACGGCACGGCTCCCCCCTCCCTCCCCTTCTCTCCGGTCCCCTCCCGAGCGGAGGGTGCGAAGTTTCCGCACAGGCGCACGTGGCCGCGGAGAGGAGGAGATCCCCGCGGATCCCGCCGCTGATCCCCAGGGACCCCCTTCCCCTGCGGCGGGGGTAGGATGGGCGCCGGGCGGGGAGGCAGCTCCCTCGGGGCAGTGGTGCCGGGGCTGCTGGAGCAGGGGCGGGAGAGGCGCGGCGCCGGCAGCTAAAAGCTGGGCTGTGTCTCCCTCCAGAGGGAGAAGGGAGTCACGCACGCAGGGAAAGCCTCGGCCGAGCCCCCTTTTCCGGGCGGTGCCCGAGTGGTGGGTGGCTCGGTCCGTGCCTCCGCACCTTAGGGGTGGCGGGGAGCGTAGTGCGGGTGGGGTCTTGAAGGCCTCTTCTTCCTCGGCTCAAAGACGGGTGGTGAGTCGCAGTCGTCTGCCGTGACTGTTGGTTAACTGAGGGAAATCTGGAGAGCGTGTAACACAAGAAATCCGGAGAGGGACTTTATACAAGGGTGTGCAGTGGCAGGACATGGGGAGAATGGCTTTAAACTGACAGAGGGGAGAGTTAGATTAGCTATGAGGGATAAATTCTTTACTATGGAGGGTCGGGAGACAGTGGAACAGCGAAAGCTGAGGCTGCCCCATCCCTGGCAGTGCTGAAGACCCAGTTGGACAGGGCTTTGAGCAGTCTCTGCTAGCAGAAGGCTAGAATCAGATGATCTTTAAGATCCCTCCAACCCAAACCATTCTGTGATTCTGCGAGTCTGTGAAATGTGGGTAGGTGAGTAAAAGCTTGCTCACATATTTCAGTGTATTTTCTGCTTTCCAAAAGGGGATGCAGAGAATTAGAGGGAGCCAAAGGTGAGAGGGCCCTCATCCATTACAGTAATATCAGAGTCAAATTCAAAGTTTTCTCCTGGAATTCTTGCCCACTCCTATATTAAATGGGGATGAATGCACACAGTATTAAGAAGTACTGATAATCATATGTTTTCTATATTTCATTTGTATGAGCTAGTATAATGGCATTTTTTTTGAGAAGCTTCTGTTGAATCCTTAACTGTCATCACATCTTCTGTAGTGTTGATAGTCAAGTCTGTGAGAAACAGAAGAGGGAAGCAAAACACTTCCCCAGTTGTTATTGTTCACGCTAGAGTTTTTCCATGTAAGTAAGGACCTGTAGAATATTTGAATTACTCTTTTCAAAGCAAATACAGACATAAAGGTCCATGCAGTCAAATAAAAAAGAAAAGGAACAGCAAAATGAAGTCTTAATGTTGACTGCCCACACATAGTGGTGGAGCTGTAGGATGAAATCTCAAGAGGATGGCATGGAAAGGGCAAGTTAGAAATGGCCTGGTACATAGTTATTACCATTGTTGTTAAGTAGTCGCTACAATGCACATATGCCTAGATGCAGACTGCAGCCAAATTAAAAGGCTGCTGGCTGTAAAGAGAAATGTGGTCTTACCTCATTCTCTGGAAGCCAGTACAATAACATAACGATTTCCCTAGTCAGTAACTGTGTTTCTGTGTTTGCAGACAGCTAAAAATAATGCAGAGGGAACTGAAACAAACAAGACTACACTGCTATCAGCAGCATAATTTCAGTACATTGAGGCAGATCCAAACTAATGTGGCTGCACAGGGGCTGGATGCTCCTGTCCTACCAATGCAACGGGTCCTTTCCTGTTGTGTGGGTCAGTGTAGGACCACAAGTATTGTTACTGGACTAAAAGCAGTCAAAGCACACTAAAAATGCAACTACAGCAACTAATATGCAACTACAGCAGCTGTTGCACTTTAGATGTAGCAAATGCCTTGTAATTATAGGAGCACATATACTTACATTAGCTGAATGTATCATTATACTCTGGTTGATTGTGTTTTATGAGACCAGAGGATACTTGGTAGTTTCATACGGGTGTCCTGCTGTTACAGAAATCAGGCAAGCACATCTGAAGACACAAAACTGTTATCACACAGTTTAAACAATACAGATATGTCACATGCAAATATCAGAAGAAAAAGCAATAGACAAAGCAATAGCTAAGCTTTCCTGCTTTGAAGCTCAGAAATGTCGTACGTCCGAATCTTGGAAAATGTGGTTATTATTTATGATGTGGTGCTACTGCTGCACGTATGCAATTGTTCCAGATCACTTTGCACAACATCTGAGTATCTGCACAAGCCTGCAGTACTCACACACGGGTTGTGACACCATGCAGGAAGACGTGCTCGCAGGAAGCTTCTCTACATGCTTTCATAGTATGGCCAACGCTCCTGGGAAGAACTGAAATGACCCGTTGCACCTACACAGTGCAGCTTGGTTTACAGATGCTTGCTTAGTAAGCCTGACTCATCTCCAAGGGTGCATTTGCACATGCTGCACATGAACGATATGATAAATTTACCATTTTCTGGGAATACCAGATTGGCAGTCTTTGTCCTACACAGCCTGTATTTATATCTTTCTGACTGGAAAATCCCCAGCTGAATACTGTGGCCTTAGAACACAATACAGTTACAAAACACTATTATTATACGAATGTTCTCTCTTTCTTCCTTCAGCTTGCTCCGTTTTTGAATTAGTGTCACTATTTCTTACTTTTCATCAATTTGTAGGGCTCTTCCATATGCTAAAAGAAAAGCATAAAACATGCAAATGGGTGCTGGCACTCACAACAGGTACAGTGCTTGGAACAACTTCAGCATTTCCATTTCAAGGCAAACAGAACAGCATAAAAACCAGAAACATAAAACCTTGTTTCTGAATGGTTGCACATATTTGGATCTTTTCTAAACGCTGATTATACTCAAAGGCATGCAGGTTCTGAACTGTTAGATAGAAAACTTGTATCTTGGTAGCCACATGCAGATTTTGTCTCTAAGAACTAATGAGTTCGCTGATGTTTACCAACAATTTTGCTCCTTAATCTCTCCCAAGAGATTCCTACCCTTCTATCACCCACCATGCTACTAACCTAAGCTAACTAGAAGTGCTGGTTTTGGCACTGTTCTCGATTTAACAGTTATGTTCTTGGTTTCTCATTTATAAAGATTAGGTTTTCTCTTGCATCTTACATCTCTTAATATTGAAATTCAGGTATTAAAATAAGCAGACGCAGACCCCAGCTCACTGTAGGTAAGGAGACCTACAGTGGCTTAGAGCCTGATGTGCAGCAGCATCCTACAACATTCCTCTGCTGCCATCGCCTAAAGCTAGGGATATTCTACAGCATGGATTCCAAAAGTCAGCAGCTGTAAATTATGTGTGATCATCACCCTGATGCTCTGTGAGCCAAAACAGTCAAACAGCACCTAAAAGTCTCCTTTACAATGTGCATACCGATACACAGCTACACACTTTGTGTTTTTATCACAGATGAGAATCTGGTCCACCAAATTTTAAGTTCTTTAAAAGCTCTGGTACATTCCAAATATTCACATACAAAAATAAAGGTAATTGACTCCTGAAAAGCTGATGTAAAATGAAAAGGCAACAGAGCAAAGTTATTCTGGGGTCCTTTAATAAGTCTCCCACAGGCATTTATTAAAATCATGCTGGTTACTGGATTTGGAAGGAAATAGGGTTTTTAACCAGCACACTGGAATCTCCAATTTTTCAAAGCTTCCACATAAATGGAAAAACTGACTGCCAAAACTAACAGAAGCAACCATTCTTTCTTTTCTACAATACATAAGTGATACAGATAAACACTATAATGATTGGGTTTTCCATTTAAAACTATTCTCCTGAGATATAAAATTACATGGATTGCTCATGCACACCAATATGAATGCTGCTCATAGAGTAATGACATCTTCCAGGCTGAAAAAAAAACCCCAGATACATGTACACATTAAATGTCATTGGGGAGCAAGACTGTTGCTTTCATTTAAGAGGACAGAAAGCTGTGAATCATATTTAAAAATGCGTTGAAAGGGATCTCTGGAGAACTGGTCAGGCTGAGGATCCAGATCCCAGTCATGGGTGGGCTGACTTCAAAGTTAGATCAGGTTGTTCAGGGCTGTGTCCTGTGGTTTCAGATATCCCCAAGGACAAAGGTCTTACCTACCAGGTTCTCTGCCCTTTTCCAGTATTTGATCACCCTCATCATGAAGGATTTTCTTCCTTACATGAAAACAAATTTCTCAGAATTGCTCTTTCTGCCTTTTGTGTCCATTGCCTCTCATCCCTTTGCTGTACACTACCAAGGAGCAGCTGGCTCCATCTTCCCTCTAACTATCCAGAAGTAATTGAACACAGCAGCTAGATTTCCCCTTTCCCTTCTCCAAAGGGGCTGAACAAACATAGCTTTCTGATTTCTTTCCTTCTTGAAAATGTCCATATTTACCATTTCCCAATTATTTGGGACCTTCTCCTGTCACCATGAGCATCTGCAGATGACGGAGAATGGTCTCGCAGTGATACCAGCCTACTCCCTCAAGGCATTTGGGAACATCTGGTCCCACAGACTACTGTATGTCCTCTTTACTTAAGTTGCCTCTCTTGATCTTCCCCTGTCAGGGTGGTACTTTACTCCCTTGAACTCACCAACAAAGCAGCACTAAACAAAGATGATCAAACCCTGGGATGAATGGTGTTTGTCTGATGTTTGACCTACCCCATGGAATATCATGCAAATAGATATTTCATCAAAAAGAGCAAAATCTCCCAGGCTGTGAGAACTGTACCTATTTTGAAACATAAGGATGCTTCTTCCTAATACTTCCTAAAGCACCTAAGCTCCCTGAAGGGCAAACATTTAAAAACCTGCACTCCTCATTTCTCATTTGCTACCTCTTGACGAGTCACTACTGAGCCTTTTAGATCTTTTACATATCATTACAAGGCACCTTACTTTCTCTGTGTATTAGAGATCCCATGCTGCGTATAGCTTCTGAGTCTTGCTCTGGGTGAAGCATGT